CTCACACCTAACGGTTGTCACACGAGGCGGCTTAGGCAAACTGGATTTCTAAGCTGCTGAAGAAAAAGACAGACGGACAGGCGGACAGACAGACAGACAGACAGACAGACAGACAGACAGACAGACAGACAGGCGGACAGACAGACAGACAGACAGACAGGCAGACAGACTATGTAACATTTTGTCTGGCTGATATTGGCAGCCTGTGATGTTCCAGATGGAGGCAAGTTTCCCTTCCAGCAGTCAGTCAGTCTTGGCTCCGTGCCACCTGTGAGTCAGGTAGGGCAAGTGAGGACAGCTTGGCAACAATGCACTGCGAAACACAAGCCAAGGAGATGCTGGAGGATTTAAAAGAGCAGCTCTGCCCTAGATCAGAAATAATCATTTAAATGCTGTATTTCTTAAACACATCACACGTACAACAAAATCAGGTAATATAATTAAGCTATAAGGTAGTACACCAGCATTTTCAGGATTTTGTTTTTAGTCTTTTCATGGTATTGTTTCTTTTGCAGCTTTTCAATGTGTACAAAATACTACTTTTCGAATGTCGTTGCCTTCACTAGGATTCATGTGTCATTAAGGCGAAAAGCATTTTGGCGTCACACCAGAACCCCAGCAGTCACACTGGCAGATATCCAAGTGCAACTGATAATACTTTGGTCATTAACAAACATTACATACCACAGAGCACAGGATCATAGGAGCCAAACAGCCACTTTAATGTCATGATGTGCTACTTGAGCTACCTATTAGTGATGGTGCTTAAATATTCCCAAACAGAAAACACTTAGAAAACAAAGTAAACAGAATGACACCCTGGCTGCAGGTTCACTTTGGGTCATGGCTAATATGTGGGAAAATAGAGAGGCAGAAATTGCTTTGATAATCTTTCATTATCACCGAGGTCACAGCACATTATACTGCTCTACTCAGAGCAGATCGGCAGCTGCACTATCGAGCCTGATTCCCCACCAGGCAGCAGAAGACACTGTTGTTAAAACACATGCGGCACCACGTTAGCTTTTGTATGTTTGGTATTATCTTGACATTTATTCCAATAATAATGTATATAGTATATGTCTTTATAATAATCTGTTTTTAGTGTTGTTTATCTGTTGTTTATTCTTATTAAACGTGGTCAGGGGACATCTGGTAGGGATGAGGAGGAGGATACAGACTGGTAGTCACAGTCAGATGACTGGTGGAGGTGCAGAAAGAGACACTGAGGATGAGGTTGTATAGAAGGGTGCAGGTTTAGTAAAGGCGATAGCAATATGGCAGCGTGCTGCAGAAAGGAGTGAAAGGAGAGCCGACATCACACAAATTTATATGGGGTACATGGTATGTATGAAGTCAAATAAGCAGTCAATATTAAACAGATGATGAGATGTTATCCAGATAATGAAACGTATTGAGGGAATTAACTAAACTGATGATTTCACTGCTAGACTACCAGTCCTGTATATGTGTATATACACATATACCAGTCCTGTATATGTGTATATACAGACCAAGAGAGTCTAAAAAAGAACCTTTGTGGTGTGGAGATACATGTGATCGTATTATCTCTTCAGACATCAGAAGACAGAATGATGGTAAACATAATAAATGTTATGTTACAGTATAATGGCTCACACAAAACTGTCACAAACCCTGTATCCAACCGAGATAGTAAGCTTAGATGACTATTCATATTTTTTACACAGTTGTGAATGAGAGGGACGTGGTTTTATACATATGTTTTCTTTATGTACACTGTGAGTTGATGCTGACATTCGTTGTGTTGCACGTCTGAACATCTAACAGGACTATAAATGTTCAAATACCATATATAGTCATCCCTCATCCCTACTTCCCTTCCTTTAATGGAGCAGAGGAGAGGTGAGTTTATAACATTGGTACTTCAGGCCAACTGTGTATTCCAGGGTTATTTCCATCAGCAGAGTGAACTCAGGACAAGGAAAAAGATCTTGTGTAAATGTCTCTGGGAATCAACAAATGTCTGGTTTCCCCGAAATCACCTCCTTCCAAAAACATACTCACCCGTTTGCAATTGGCCTTCCGCGCACCAATCCTTTGTGCCTCACGGCTTCACCTTCACCTCGGGTAACATCAGGATTTAATACTCTTGCTGCACCTGGAGAGAAGATACTACAGCCAACTGTTACAGAAATGCAAGGCCAACGACGTTGAAAACAAAAACACTCTCGTTGCTGAAACAGGAAGTAATCCATAAAGCACGTGTTGTAATAAAAAAACAGGTTGATCCTTTTGTTTGCTACTTGTGAGAAAATCCAGAATCTTCATTTCTACCTATGAAGACGCTTCACATACTCGCATCGCTTTCCCAAAATGTAATCTGCTCATTGCAAGAGAAAGATGTTAATTGTTTGAAACTCTGTTAAACTTATTTAGAGCTCTCTCCCAGCAAATGTTTAGAGTGTGCATGTAGGAGTTCACTTCATGAAATGAAAAAAGGAATTCAAGAAAATGACCCGGTGTTCTTCATTATTGATTAAAGTCATTCTTTTCTTGATTGTCTGAGTCATTGTTTTGTATATTAAATAGTGAAAAAATGGCCATTATAATTGCCCAGAGACCAAGTAGCATCTTCAAATGTCTTGTTTTGGTATACCAACAACCCAAGGATATTCAATTTACTATCATATATGACAGAGAAATGCTGCAAATCATATTAAAGAAAGTGAAATTCTAAAATGTTGAAAAATTACTGGATTTTTTTGTCATTTAATTTCAGCTCTACTTCAATGTTAGTTATTTTGTTGTTATGTATCAACAAAAAACTGACAAATCTTAAAGAATATATTGCCATAGTGATGATGATAATGGCTAAATATTGTAAATCAAAATAATAAAAAATGGTATTTATGAACAATCTGTACAACAGTATATGATTCGTACTTGAGAACAAAACATGATGTCACAGAATGTGGCCGTTTTTCCAGTGTTTGATACTATTGCACTGCCCAAATACAAGAGGAACCAATTGAAAGATTGGAAAAGTTGTTTTTGAGAAACGGAATGAAAACATTGAACCATACGTGTTAAACTATAGTCTCTTGTTTCTGGTGAACACTGATGGCAAACGTCTGTCCTACACCACAGAGGAGCACCACTGTATTGGACCTGTTAAAATGATGTCACAGTAAGGTTCAGGTTGCTGTCACATAAGATTGTTCATGCCAGGGTGCCGCTTCGCAGCCAGTGAGAATGACATGTTCATCGCAGTGTATGTGACAGACTGACTGTTGTGCGTATTCTGGCTTTGGCTGAGATATGGATATTTGTGTTGCTGAATTCAGTCATAGATGAAATGCTTGAAACCTGCAGGATGAATGCTACAAGTGGTGTTGCAGATGTTATTCTCTGCATTTTGGTTATGGACCACGGTGAGTAAATGTCCCTTTTCAGGTATCTGGCTCCCTCTTGTGTTCAAAGCAGCATACTGCTAAAGTAGCGACTTGCCATTACTGCTGTTTAATGCATTAAACCAAATTAAGAATACACTTATTGCTATACTTGCCTTATTCTCTCCCTGCTAAAGCAAATAGACTAAAGTGTATATAATGTAGTGTACAAGTGTGTTTCAAAACAGTAATTTAAGATGTCAAGTAAAGCCAAAATGGATGCATGGTTGAAAATATATATTCAAATAATCTCTTTATTCATCCTATATAGTTGTACACCACTAAAGACAGTGATAGGAGCACACAACGGGCATGAACATTTGTCAGTTATATAGAGGAGGGAGGAAACTTTGCAGATTTTCATAATAAAAATAAGAACATTTTCTAACACCTTGTGACAATGAAAGTACATCCAAAGCAGGAGAAATAAGACGGTATGTGCCAGATTGACTTCTTTCACTTGCTATTGATGTTTTATTCTGTACAGAGGGACAATTTGTACAAAATCAATCTAGATATATAACACTACATGAAACAAGGTAAATCATATATACAATATTAAATGAATCATATAGTACAGGTCACATACAAAAGGACACTTTAAGTTATCATGTTTTGGAAATATGTGAAATTAAAAGATCTGCAGAAAGAGAACAAGCCACCGAATCATTTTTAAATCATCTCTCGTTATCACGGACAACTTGTTTTTTCAGCACTAAAATAACCCTCAAAACGTCTCTCGACTCAAACTCATAAAACCTATAAAACGTCTCTCCCGGCAAGCCGGATATAGTTTCATAAATGCAATGAACTCGACAACAGAAATCAGTTTGGTGAATGGCATTCCTCCAGGGTAAAAGGTACATGTTTAACATGGTAGTTTTAATTTACATCTTTTTGCATTCAAGCAAATACAGTATTAATACAGTTAACAAGCCAAGTCACAATGTCAGTTTATCAGCATCTGGCATTTTTCGTGGGCCATTTGATAGCAGTCCGTCTCAGCGTTGGGCATCCTGAATGGCCAGGACAAAACGAGAACAAAGGAAACCTGACATCCACGCTACTTAACCTCCAGAGACAAGACAAAGAAATACAACACGTCAAATATGAAGCAATCTAGCAGACCTCCTTAGTTTAAACAATGGTACTGACTGGAAGATACTTTCCAACGTTCACTGAGAAAGATAACCGCTCCACCAGACAACTGAACTTAGGAACAGCAGCACCACAAACATGCCACACCTTTAAATGTTAAGTCAGTTGTCTTTTTTTTGGTAACTTGTGTATTTATTATTGAATGTCAGTATGTTAATCGCTACCGAGGTTACCAGCGCTTAAGTTTGATAATAAATTAATTTCTATTTGCTAACATTAAAATCTTTATGGCATACAGTGCCAGCACACCTCCCTGCTCTTTAAAAAGAAAAGGAGCAACAGCTGTAACTTAGTTAGAGCTGCTAAAACCCATCAGTGAGTTTTTAGATGGTGCAGATCTGCTCCTCCAATCACATTTAACAAAAAACTAATCTCTCGAGATAATTTTCTTTACAAAGATATATATATATATATATATATATATATATATATCTATAACACCACTCACCTTGAACACCTCACAGCCGCACTCTTATTTCAGCATGCAGCCAGTATATGCAACGTAGGCAGCTAATACTAACAGCTTTCACTCACAGTTCATCATTATATACAGTAAGTACCATTGTTTGAACTGTCTAGTCAACATTATGGTCTGGTTTTCAAATATTGCGAATGAACTTAAGGAGAGCAAGCATATAAAAGAGTTGCATATGGCACAAAACAATAAAATGGAAAGTGTCTGATGTCCACAGGACAGCTTCCTCTTTCCTCGCCACCTTTCCTGGACATTGCAAGGCTAAAGGACGAGTCTCAGTTTGGTCTGGTGTGCTAAACTTTTAAAAAAAAAAAAAAAAAAAAAAAAAAAAAAAAAAAAAAAAAAAAAAAACTTTCAAACACCAGTGACCAAAAAACAAAGGCAGGCGTGTCTGTTGAAGATAAAAACATGAAAGAAACAAACATACGGAACACAACAGTCTTGGCACTGACAAGATGTCTGTTAGATTGAGCAAAGAAATAAAGAGAACGGACAACGGATGACAGGAAAGTCTTGTCTTTTCATCTGACCAACAGGTTCTGATTTTTTTTTCCGTTTGACAGAAAAGAAAACCAAGCAGAGACCAAGAGACGATCCTTAGACAGTGAGTCACACAGTTCCTATGTTTCCACGTCCAATCCATTGTGTTTGGAATGAAGGAACCAGCTTTGTGGCATCCGTACTCCCAGGTTCCACATTTACAGTGAATGCACAGGGGGGGGGGGGGTAAGAGGAAGCTACGGGGGAAATAATAGGGGGAACACAATCAATGTGACTAGGGCTAAAAGACACAATACACTCTCCCACTCCTCTCCAAATAAAGAAAAAAAACCTGAGAAAGCAGAAATCTGGGGGAAGAGGATACAGGGCTTCTGCACTGGGGCAGCAGGAATGAATGACAACTGAGACTTCTGGGTAAACTGAAGGTGGGAGGAGGCATGGGTATCCCAACATTGCCAGTGTAATTCTGGCGCCTGGGCGAAGAGGATGTCCATGGCCGTCGAAGGGTAAAAGGGGCAGTTGAACAAAGAGTCGACAAGGTGGCGGGACCTAGAGTCCATCGTGGGTGGTCAACATGTCTTCAGCTCTGCGGTGGCACTCCAAGGCTTTTGTGGTGTAGATATCCTGAGGCAACTCAGATTTGCGTCGCACCATAGGCCGCTCTTTCCGCTGCTCATGCTGCAACTGTCAGATTGAGCGCAGAAGGAGGAGGAGGAGACAGTTAGGCTCAATTATAGCGTTTTAACATCGTCATCTCCTGTCAATATGTCAAAATGTCCCTGTTCTGATCATAGCTCTAAGATTAAGCGCGACAGCTTGAACACAATTCAGTTACGTACATCAAAATCTAATTTACAGAGAACCAAGACTAAGCGAGTTAAAACACGGCGTACTGAGCGAGGCCATACCTGGACCAACTTTAAATTAAATACACAACATCAGACATCTATGGAGCCCCCAGGTGTTCATTATGAAATAAAGACATTAGCTTAGTAATTATATGAATACATTGTGACAAATATAAATTAACCAAAGAAATTTAAAAAATGTTTTGACTTTCTTTGCCACATAAAAATATGAATTTAATAGCGCTATTACCCGCCAAATGTTTACATTTTATGATGTCACTTTTCATGACTGAAGTTGTCACCAGTCTTCATAAAAATGATTAAATAACATTTCAAAATAGCAGGTTGAGCTTGAATAATTTATCATATTCTTATTTATGACTAATTATTGTGTCATTGACACTGAAGGGTTATGAATTCACTGGAGAAAAACATTAGCCCTGTTTTTCTGAATTAACCGGATTATTGTCAATTAAAAAACTAAAATCTGCACGGAACACGGTTGCTTCTGCTAATCAGCTCGTCAGGGCAGCTAAGCCCCGTCTTAGTTCCGTGTAAGCGAGAAACTCAGAATTCAGAAGATGTGCGGTTGTGATTTTCTGTTCAGGTCAAAGAATATTTCCTTTATTGACAAATTGGTTAATTTGGCAAAGCTGGCGAGCCTACACAGCAGGAAGGATCAGCGGACTACATTTACCATCAGCACTGATTGGACATCCACATAAAAAAGGTGGCAAATTCTTCCTTTAAAGAGAAAAGTTTGTTCCAATGTCTCAAACTGGATTAAACTAAAGTGGCTGAACATGTTTGCGTCCATCAGATCACAGAGGATCATTTTTTTCCTCAGTCAATTCTCAAGTGAATGAACTACACTTCATATATACTTTACAAAATCTATTGAAGTGGTATGATTTTTATAATTGAACACTTTGAGGCTTCATACTAAGACAACATGCAAGGGGCACACAAAAAGGAAGCTCTTGATTCCAGTGGTCAGTCCATAGTTAGATTTGTTTCCACATTTAGGTTGATTTATAAGTTAACAAACCACAAACACAAAGAAAGACTATAATACATACAGAAAGAATACAATGATAACTTCTATAGTGCAAGTAGCTTCAACTAGAAGACTTTGGTAACACACAGGCCTGATAATATAGAGTGATTAGAAGAAGAAAGGTATATAGACAGAGAGAAAGTCAGGTTTACCTGAGTTGCGCCCGCCTCAACTGTCTTTTTTAACCTCTGAACATCTTCTATCAAAGGGACATCCGTCTCCATTGCTACAGGACTATTGAGGTCAGAGGAATCAACATACATAAAGAACTATGTTGAAAAGAAAGAGAAACAAAAACAAAAAAAAACACAAAAACAAAGGATGGAGAAGAGACTTTCAGTCGCATGCAAAGAAGAATGAATCAAGAGGCTCTGAATATCGTCACATTTGCAGCTCTGATATTTGGTTTTGATCGGTTTCATATGCTTCAGTTGAGGCGTAGAATCAAAAGGATTGAACACATTTTCACGACTGATTTGTTGGGATTTAAGTGTTGATTATGAAAAAGCAACCGTGTCACACAATGTTGAGCTCATCAGTTGCTGTTCACACTAAAAAGGTTAATGTTGTACTGATCCGTTTGGATTTAAAATTTGTATTTTGTTGCACATTTAAACCAATAGTTTAACATTTTGGGAGTTATGCATATTTGCCAAGAGTCGGATGAAGAGATGGATCATGTCTGTACTGTAAATATTGTACATGAATGTAGCTTAGCTTAGCACAAAGACAAGGGGAAACAGCTAGCACGGCTCTGTCCAACAATAACGGAATCAATGTACCAGCACCTTAAAGCTGAAGATGTGTTGGACTATTTCCTGCCTGGCCGAAGTGACCACATGGTCTTCAGTACTTGTGCTAAGCTAGCTGGCTGCAACTTTCCAATTTACCATAAAGACATGAGAGTGGAATCAATCTTTTCATTTCATGCAATTCCCAGAATGTCAAACTATTCCTTAAATGCTCACATCAGTTTTTTTCTTTATCGTTACTCTTTGATTTAATGAAACACTTCTTCAGAGAGCATCTTAGAGCTGTCGGATTCAAGCATTCACCACAACTAGGCACATTCTCATCTTTCCATCTTCAACAGCAGTGCGATTATGAAAACATAAACAACCAATTCATATTGTGAACAAAATGAGTCCTGAAAAAAGGGGCAACGTGTAACATGTGGCCACGGTTTTAGTCAAAAAAACATCCAAAAATAAATGACCTAACTTTATTAACAGACTGTTCACAGTGTTGAAATGATGTAAAAGACTTCTATGTATTGTGTTGCAGAGATATCTACAGACAGGAGCACATAGCATCCAGTCTGCTTCATTCCAACACATGAGAACAAAGCGCTGCCTCGAGGGCCGCCGCCACACTTGAGTATAAGGTAGCAGTGTTATTTTGACTGACGCTCTCAGTGACATTACTTAGTAGCTAGCGGGTTTTTTTTAAACAGCGTATGACTGTAAATTGAACTTGTATGGGCCCAGCAGTAGAGGGGAAATGCTGCCCCCTATTTCTTTGGAGCCTGTGGCCGGACATTACACATCACGTCTTTATCAGGAGAAGATGGAAAGGGAACTACAATTCAACAACACAACTGGCTAACAGAAAACAAAAGACGCACATTTCATAAAGATGACTGCTACACACACACTTCCACACACACACACAGTGATAGAAAGGGAGGTTAGGTGACTGCGCACACACTGCTCACCTGTGGATTTGACTTGGCCAGGTTCTCGATCTTGATCCAAGCCTCTTCACGTTCTTTTGACTTTGCCTTCTCTCTGTTGAACAAGCAAACGTCACACGTCATTAATTTGTTCCGCTGCACCGATTACATGTGAAACCAGACACTCATTTTGCTGCAGTGTTAAGAGAAGCAGAAACGATGTGTCACTCAAAGACATCGTTGTTAGAGATCGACTGAGTGGGAGAAGAGTCTCGGGAGCCTACTTGTTTTTCTCAGCCCTGAACTGCTGTGTGCAGTCGTCAAAGAGCTTCTGATTCATCTCCATGAAAAGCTTCAGAGCGTTGTAGATGAGGCCGTGGATGGTCCTGTGAGCGCGCACACACACACACACACACACACACACACACGTCGGTCAAGAGTCAAGTCTTTATAAGCACAAGTGACATTACTTTTATATTTAACATATTAGAGATATTAAAGTATTTAAAAAGGTATTTTGTTGTGTATTAAAGCAGCAAACGTAAGTTATGTATAAAAGGGTGATCTGCAGCAATAAAAGCCTTTTTAAAGATTATTTATGATAAATGCATCAGGTGATGCGTGTAACTGATGCATAGGAGAGTACACTCTGTGACCAAGCTAAAATACCTACACATACTTGAGAGATATCACTAATGTGAGCGGTTGTGTCAGACTGGTGTTACATGCAGTGAGACGTACAGCACGCGTAGAGTATCTTACTTGTTCCAGTGGGTCTTAGAGTTGCGGTACAGAGCGGGGAACATAATCGGCAGAATCTTGGCTGCGTTGTCGCTGATCAGACTCATGATGTACTCGTTGTTCCAGTAGTACAGAGCTCTCTCTGCCACCTGCAGAAAACACCGCAGTCAGGCACATACTGACAACCACTTGAATAACCCCCCCCCCCCCCCCCCGACGTTATGAAGGGACCGGTTGCGATCGCCCTCGGGTTACCTGGAAGTGCGGGCTGGACACACACTTGGCCAGCTGTCTGAAGAGAGGCTCCTGCACTTTAACGAACTCGGAGGGCTCGATGACGTCCAGGATCTCCTCCAGCTCGTTGAGGAACATCACTTCCTTAGGACTATGAGTCTTTGGCCAGTACTTTAGTAAAGCCATTACCACCTTTTGGGATGATGACCGGGGTAAAAAGTCAACCAACTAAACAAAATTTACAACCCCAACACCGGCATCTCATTTTAAATCAATTATAGCATCACAGAAGGAGTTTCACCATGTTGTTGTTGATTATTTTTACATACCGGCTCAGTAAGAGTGCTGTCCTTTTCCAAAAACTGCACCACGCAGTAGGCCAGCTGCAAAACAAATAATCATTAAACTCTCAAAAGTATTTGACTTTACCGGTCGCGAGCTGAAGGTAACACGGCGGGGGACTCGCTGAACGGACCGGCTGGGACACGCAACAACAGTTTTTGACAAAACCTGCAGAATGACCTGCTGCTCTCATGAAAAGAGGAGGCGTGTACTCAAAGCAGGTTTGGACAAGAATATTTAAATACATTTTTTTTATAATTTCTGTGCTGTATGAGTGCCTCTTGCCATACAGCTTCACAAAAACTAAAATCAAGCTCATCATGCTGACTCACTGCGTGTTCAACAAACTCACCTGTGGATGGTAGACACTGAGTGATTTCACTTTGTGCAGAGGCAATAAAACCTTCAACAGAAAAATCTTGTGCTCTTCCTTTAGTGGTAAGGCAAATCCATTGATTATACTGCGAAATGAAACAAAAGTACCATCAGAACAAAGTAGGAATGTGGAATTAAATAGCCGATAGTTCAGAAGTTTTACATTTAGGACAGAAACGAGGTTTCATGGCCGACTATTATGAAAGAAAAGCATCGACTATCATGTAAAAGTGGTACGAGAGCCACAAACATCTGGACACTTAAGCTGATGCCCGTACCTTCCAAGTATTTCCAGTAGTTCGGCTATACCATTATGGTGCTCCGTCTCATAGATAAACCTGTAAGGGCAAACAGCAGATTCACACATTGATCATCACGCTTGGTTTACATGTTTTAAAAAATGAGCAGAGCGGTGGGAGACCTGCACGGACCTATAGAAAATGTTATTGATCTGTTTTCTGATGTACGCTCTCAGGCCCAGGAACTTTCCATAAATCCTGTGGAGGGTAGTTTTGAGGAAGTCTCTCTCTCTGGGATCCTCACTGTCAAATAGATCTAGGAGCTGCAAAGCCAGAGAAGTGAAATGTCACGATAATTAAATCACCATGTGTGTCTTGAAATTGTTTTTTTTTTTTATAGTCTGAGATTTTGGCAAAAATGTTTTTTTTCTTTACCTGCATAACAAATTTCTGGTCGATGTATTTCTTCGCTATGTTGGGCTGAAAGTCGGGCGATTCTAAAAACCTAAGGAAAAATTCATAGACGAGCTGCAACAGAAACAAGAACAAAAAAAAAAAAAAACAGAAGGAATGAATGCTGAGAAGGAATTTAAGCAAAAAGCTTTGACACCAAATACACCATTCAAAATAGTCTTTTTGTAAACTACACAACTTCACCCTTCAGCCATGCAGGGAGGCTCTTCTCGGTTCTGAATAACCGTTTATAAACCGCTCAATGTTTGGTGGATGATTTAACCATTTTAAATGTCAACCTGGAGGTGTGGCCACGCAGCTTCAAGTGTTGGCTCGTCTTCCTCGGGATCAAACTCCGCTCCGGTGGGGTTGGACGATGGAGGCAATGTTCTGAACATATTCACCGCAAACTGGAAGGAGAGAAGTGAAAATGATACTGTGAGTGTTTATTCCCAAAAAAGGACAGTACGCTATTAAAGTGAACTTCCTTTTGTTGTTTTGATAACCCCAGAGTTTACAAACGGCAATAGCTCTACCCAGAATATGTTACAAGAGATTTTCACTAAGTTTAAAAAAAACAAAAAAAAAAACACAGCTAGACGAAGACTTCCTGTCAGAAACGTCCCGCTCATGACTAAATGTTTCCCGTCATGACACGATGGTAAACAGCTGTGAAACCACAACAAAAGACTGCATCTTTTTCTACACACTCACACAACAATATTTACAAGCATTTAGAGATATGCTGGAGTATGTGACAAATCATTAAGTAACAGCAGTATTTCTGTGATGTATGTTTTTAAATGCTTCTTTCTCTCTATTGTATCCCCTTTGGGACGGGTCTGCAGCACGTAACGTTTGCTTAAAGCTTGATTATGAATGCTTTGTGCCATGAGTAATACGACTCCTTTATTCAGTTCCTCGTGTTAGTGCCATGTTTCAGGATTTATTTCAAGTCAATTCTTAATTGCACACTGCTCCAAAAAAAACAGCAAGGACATTTAAAAAAAATAAGAAATAGCGTCCCATCTTCTGCATTCTAAAAATACATCTTCTTAGGTTCATGTTAAACTTAAACTGGCCTTGCAACTGGCCTCCAAGGGTTTGGCCCACAACAATCAGAGTGTGTTGTGTTCCTGGTCTCTCGCAGTGTCAACTGACTCCCCTGTGGGCTGCTGTTCCCTGGCAGGCTGATCATGGGACAGCGCAGGTGGCCTACTAAAACACTGGGAGCCTTGTTTGAAAGAGACAGGCTACAAGGTAGACGGACTCTGCTGCACTTCAACCCACAACAGGCTGTGAAGATGACTGTGCATTAACTCCACAATGGAAACTGTAAATGGAAACGTCATAACAGTGATTACAGCAGCTCTGCTGTTGGCTTTGACAATTCAAAAGCTAATAATTTGTAGTCTAGTAGGACACTCTTTCTTCGCCATGTTTAAAGAGTGTGATGAGACGGTAAGCAGAACATCTGTCATCGTGATCATTTTTTTGGTATTTAGTCATAAACCACAAACGCATTTAATTGTGACTTGACGATGAGTCTAAGGGAAACATTTGTATACATGAAAGCTCGCAGATCATTACCACTTTTGCAAGAGTTGATGGCTAAAATACGCATCTTATGCGTTTTCACTTTATTCTTGAAAGAACAAGCCACAAACATCACAAACAAACAAACCTGATCACAAACATCAGCTGTGCTCAGGTCCTACCAGCTCCGTCCCGCAGCTACAGCCTGGCCCTCCCTATTCTTGGCCCAAATTGAACCCTCAACTTCAGCTTTTAACCGCAAACTTAACCCCCTCCGGTTTCACTGACCATGTGCACCACCTCCGGGTAGATGGGCTCTGTGATGACATTCCTGTTGTGGGTGATGTACTCCACCATTTCGCTCAGCGCCGCCCGCTTCACTTCCTTCCATTTCAGGTCGCTCAGCGGGTCGGACAGGAAGTCAAAAAGAACGCAGCACTGCCGTAGCTTTTGGATGAAGAGCTTCTCCTGCTCTGCGGGGGCCACATCTGAGGAGACAAAGAGAAGGGGGGGGGGAGAAAAGTGAGGTTTGTGAAGGGAAGAAAAAGAGTCCCGAATGAGCGGCGAAGGCACAACAAGGCTACACAGTGGTGATGCAATAAGGCGGTGGGGAATATAGGAAAATGGAGCCATGTTGAAAAGAGTGAGGGGTCACGAGAGAGAGGAGGGGGCAGTGTAACTGTCAAGGACGACCGCTAAAGCAGCGATGCGACAGAAAAAAAAAAAAAAAAGAAATATCAGGCAACAAGAGAGTGACAGAGACCGGCAAATGAGTCATGAAGACTAAAGTGCTTTGAGAGAAAAGCTGAGATGGTTACAGCTCAGCGGGAGGATGAGGACGGAGCGGAGCGGAGGAGAGACGATGGAGACGAGGACGGAGGATTTGGGAACTAGGTGAATGGTCGCAGTCCAGCCAGTCGACAAAAGGAGTCATTATATTTGTCCATGGTGGTTTGAGGACTTCCTCTTTTCACTTAATTTCCACCAGAACAATCAAGAGCACCGGCCTGTCAACAAACAAACAAACAATCTCTGCCAACACTTCACACATGACAACACAAAGAAGAAAACATCCATTTCGGTTGCTTGAAATTCCTACCTGCTCATGTGGCAGAGTAATAACACACAGTGACACCATAATTATGTCGTTATGTGACACAACTTTGACGTTATTGTTTCTGCTTTTTTTTTTTTTTTTTACGATGTTTGTTTTTTATCTTTGATAGTCACACTGGAGGAAAATCTACACGCCATGTTCTTCAGCTACCGTAACAATCGCCAATATGGCACCATGTCCCAGGAGCTGGACATCTAATATACACATGGTTGATTGTATTTAAGTTACTTTATATATACACTGTTTAGAAAGGGAGAGTTGGATGAGAAGATCGTCATCCACTCGCTCATTTGTCCATTTAATATGAAGCTCCGAACACCTTAGCTTAGCGTAAAGCTAGCCTGGCTCTGTCCAAAGGCAACAATCCACCTAGCATCACCTCTAACGTTTACTTAATGATATAAACACACGATACATAGCCGTCCGTCGTCTCGTGACAGGACTGAGCCATGCTAGCCGTTTCCATTTCCAGCCTTCATGCATGCTAAGCTAACCGGCTGCTACCTTATATTTAATGGACAGATGTGAGAGTGGTGTCCACCTTAAACAATAAACTGAAGCGATTTAAACTTGCTCAACTAGGCCTGCTGTTTCCTTATGAACAGTGGAGCAGTACAAACCCTGGAACCCTTTATAGATGAGATAGGTCACTATAAAATAACAGACATGTTTCGTTATCTCAAGTTTCTTTCCTGATTTAAATTGGTTCTGTCTAACCACAGCTTAAATAAAATAGGCAAACTGTCAACTAACTCCTTCACTAAACTCCGGCGTGGGTTCAAGCAGCTGCATGTGACGTAGTGCTCGTGATTAACAATGCATCCGAAGAACAGACCGGCTGGTTTGCTACACTCACATTTATGATTTCATTGGTGTCTCTGCTGGTGACCTACACTGTGTATCTGATAGAAGATGAAGAGTTATACAATCACTGCCTACACACAGCACATGACACCCACAGTAGCTTTACATTAAGATTCTTTCCTGTATTCCTGCAACCGGATCAGCCGGTTTATTCTACAACTGTAATTGCAATAGAAGGACGTAAGGCCATCGTCCTTACATGAACGGCATCCAGCCTATCGTCCGTTTATGGTGTTTAACCGAAATAAATCATACCAGTGCAACAAAAGCTGCACTTTTCTATACCCCCGCAATTACTGATCAGTGAAGGGAGAGGCGTCGACAATAGGCTGGCACTGAGGCTCGGAAGCCGTGTCTGCACATGAATGAGGATGTTGGCGCTGTGAGCGAACCGAATTAGATCAGATATGTAGATGGCATGCACTGTATAGGTCAAAAGGAAACAACATGGATGAATCCCATTTCTCTTCAATGACTGTACTGTAACCTGTAGGCAGAACACTTCCACGTAACGACAAGAAAATTAGGTTGAGAGACAAATTAGGATTTATGAAATTGGCACAGGGATCAAATAAGACCAAAAAAAGGATACATAATCAATTGATTGAAGGCAAACAGAGCATTGCAAATGCTGGATATACTGAATATTAATCCAAATTACACTGAGATAAATGAATTTGGTCTCTTTGCGTTGCGATGCTGCCATCCATCTTGTTTTAATTAGACAGAAATGAATGAGCAAATAAACAAAGTGGCATAAATAAGGTGTGTAATAAGGAAAAACTTAAGGTAAATAATAGAAAGATAACCTATACGCGCACGCCCTACTTCCAATGAATGTACACAGAGTGACACACACACAAACACACAGTAAGAAGAGAGATATCCTATTCAGACATGATGGAGACTTGGCTCACACGCTCTCTCACACACACACACACACACACACACACACACTTCTACAATGTCAGTTTCAAGTCGGCCAATTTATCTTGATGACAGTGAGAGGTTGGGGATTCCAGAGGAGAGAGGGCAAGTGTGTGAGCTGCCATTAACAGCCATTTTCATATAGATTTGACGGCCAAAAGCGATGTCACTGTGACAACACTACGACTGCCAGTACGCCAGATTAAAAACACATAAGAGAGAGAAGTTCATCCAAGACATTTATCGTTATTATTACTACCGTCTCCAAAGTGGACACCTGTTTCAGATAAATAAGGCCCGCTAAGCTCAGCTGAGGTGCACCCAGAAGACTGAATAGCAACAGGTAGAATACAGATTACGTTACCGTTTATTTTATTTTTTTTCTAAGTTGCACTGGGACATGAAGCTGCACTGGAATGTGCCGCCATGTCTCGCACCGCTGACGCTGTCGGACTTGTGTTATAAAGTTTCTGTACACTCCTGAAATATCCAGCGGGTCGTTGTGTAACAGATAAAGGCTCAGTGTTGTGATCCCAAAATTGATGCTAACCACAATGTGGCGTCTATTAATGTCGCTAACAGAAGCCTTAGGAGGGGGAACAAGCATGCGCATGCACACACACACACACACACACACACACGAGCATCGTGTCTTTGTGGAGAACAGAGAGAGATTCATCCGAGTGCTCCCCGTTCAAAAAACTGAGAGAATAAATAACTAGGAGTCACATTGGAGCCACAGTCTCTACTTTTACTTTTGTGTAAATGGGTCAAACAAACAGCTGATAGTCCAATCTGAAGTTAGGGACGGTTTGGCAATCTGCTTTATCGACAGTATGTTATGATCAATGTAAACATTGACTGATGCTATTTATAGCTTTGTAGAGGGACAGTGTGTTGCGGATTTTAAAAAAAAAAAGGCTTTTGAACAACTAGGTTGGCCACATTCATTCATTGAGGTAATTTTGGCGGCATTGAAATATAGAGTAAAGTACGGTTCCTGTGTTTGGATATAGTTAAAAGTATGCAACACATAGCTTGTGACAGACAACAGCTTTGCAATGCTTGTTAATAAAATAATGTCTTGTATCTCAAAACAGATTCACGGGCCCTGATCAATACTTGGTGCAAAAATGTATCTTTGACACATTTTGTGTCCCACAATTTCTGACATAGATCATAAACATGGCTCTGAATACAGGCACGAATGCACCCAGAACACAGGAAATGAGGAAATGTTGGGATGTGGAGTCTAATTCAGAGGTGACCAGGGATCCATCTGTCCGAGTAGGTAGTGTAGTGGGAACGAAAACGCATTCCTAACAACGCTGAAAGGCCACCGGATCATTTATTGAAGTGTGTCTGAGGCTCCGAAAAACATCCCAAAAAGAGTTAAACGTGGATGCTGGCTTTCAAATCTTTACCTGAGGTGGTCCTGTCCAATCCTGTTCATATGCATGTACAAATGAACACATGTATGTATGTATGTATGTATGTATGTATGTATGTATGTATATATATATTTTGGATTAGTAGTGGTTTCAGTTCCCCACATTCAAAATCGAATGTGAGAATGGAAGTAAAAACCTATGCCTCGGTATACAATGCAAAGGGAATCTGTAAAGATCTGGATGTAAGACATTTGGTCTGAACGGGGTTAGAAATAATAGACACACACAGAAGAAAGAGGCAGATAGAGTCCGATTGTTCCCCCAACACTGAGTTGTCATTCAAGGCAGTGGCCACTGTGGCTCAATAGAGTCTAATCAATAACTGCCCGAGGCTCCATCTAACGCTGGGCTGCACCCGAGTACAGTGGTAACAGGCTGGGTCTTTCAAACATGACTGAGTGCATTCGGCACACATTAAAAGAGAGCAGGGCCTGGCGCTGTAATCCTAAAACCTTCCTCCTATAGCTGGGTCACATTGACAGCAGGTGCTTTTGTTGACTTCACAGACACATTTTTGTTTCTTGTGTCTTGATTGGAGAAAGAAATAGGGGTGCCTAAGCATGTCGCCCACTAGGGAAATGGGTGGGGAGATGGAGTAAAAAAAAAAAAAAAAAAAGGGGGGCTGCAGTGGCTGTCTACAGCCTACACACTATGACCAATCTGTGCCCAGATGAACTGGAGTGTGACAAAAACGCTGGGTTGGGTAGAGCAGAAGAAGAAGGTGGTGAAGAGGAACAATATTTGACTCCTCTTTGGCTTTTTCCCCTCAAAAGGCTACAGTCAATAGCTGCAACCATAAATACACAAACACAATTAAAGTCAAACACATGAAGCGCTAAGGAGAAGACCCTTCCCTGAGCTATGACCTCACTTCCTTTGACATCACTAGCTCGGCGGGGGGATGGGCAGAGAGGCACAGAGAGAGAGAGAGAGAGAGAGAGCGAGAGAGCAGCTAGCTAGTAAAACCAGATTTTTCTACATGTAGCTTCACTGTCTCACGATAATGCACACAAGCAAATAATTCCTCAGTTCCCGTTTGAATACAATAGAGCTGCTTTCCGAACCACAGAAACAACGACATGTTCCCAAACGCCTGAGTGCTGACTAACCCAGCAGTAACCAGTGGAGGGGAACCGGAGCACAGCAACACACACACAGCTCTCTCTCTCTCCCTAATTCCCTGGGACAATACAGGAAGACAAATATACGTCCTTTACGTACCTCTGAAGTGCATAAGGGCCACCGGCTGAAACGGCCCGTTGGAATTAGGTGCATCCACAACCATCCTGTCTCCAGATTTATTGCATGTCAACATCTAAACCTCAACCAGGAAGGCGATCCACTTAGGGCGAGAGGCCAGCCTCCATTTTAGCACAAAAGCAGATCAGAAAATGAAGCTCTCTGCTGCTGGAGGGAACTGGCTAGTTAGTGACGTAGGCAGCGAACGGAGCCCGCTGATTGGCTGAGGTCAGGCGGCTCTAGAGCGATGTGGGCGGAGGTTTGCTGGCAGAGAGGGACGGTGATTGGCTGAGAGGACGCACAAGGGGGCGGGATATACTTTGGAATTTTTGCTGCGGCTCCTCCTCCTCACTCACTCGTCTCTGGTGACGCTCTGTAAGGCAGACCTACAGATCTCAGATCAGATTGATTTAAATCCTCTCCACAGTTGAACCATTAGCAGGGTTTTTCAGCATAATCTGATTTAGGAATAGCAGCTGGAAATAACTTACTCTGAGTGTGCTTATAGAGAGGCCCTGGCTGAATCTTCAAAGTCTCTCATTGTTTCCTTCTGTCATCTCTACCAAAAGGAGGTGGAGGAGAGGGTCGGGGGTGGAGGGGGGGGGCCTCGCATCTTTAGCTCCCGCATCTTTAGATTGAATGAGGAGCAGAGGGAGACAAGAAGAAACCACACGAGGGGCTGAGGATAGGACCATTGGAGAAAAAGAGAAAGAAATCCAGTAGAAATCAATGTGACTTTTCAAGATGAAAGACCATGTAAAAGTGTGGCGTAGTGTCATGCTGAATAAAGAAAAAATAATATGACCACAAATGAATGTTTAGAACTAGTTTATTTTTGGCTTCACATTATGTATTTTGTGAAAGGGTTTTATGACTCACACTATATTATATCACACAGAATTTGCGGCATTATGTTATTCTGAGTGACGTACAAGTGCTGAACAAAATTAGCTGTAAACAGGAAATGAAAGTGAGAGGAAAGAAAAATAAATGCACAGGCACACAACGCAGGAAACTGGTGCAGCTCCAAGCATCATTTTGCAGCCTGTCAGTTTACTAGTGACTGAAACATCTGCTTAAATATATATATATTTCATAGTACATTTCACTTTCAATTATGTATATTTAGACAAACCCATTTCAAGAAATTGTACACCAAAATAAATCCAACTACAAGGCAACAGATGCATACAATCTGCATTTCATCTTTACATAATGAGGTAGCTGTCCCTCTCATGTGACTCACCAGAGGACACGCAAAGTGAAACCACATTCACATCACAAGGCCGACCAGAGTTTTCATAACAGTGGGATTCGACACCGTCCTTACACAGAAATTTAATAACAAAGAGACTGTGCTGTTTTCCAACAGTGAGCAATGTCAGAAAATTACTTAACTAATTAATCCACCAATGAGGAGTGGAGGAGAGGTAACAGTACCTTATTCAAAACGCTTATCAATCTTGAGCACAAAATAGCACATTTTAAAAACATGTGACCCAAAAAATATTTTTCATCATTTTTGCCTCAGCAGGTGTTGTAATAACTTAATTGTGGACTGCGTTTTTTTCTCCCGGTTTATTTATTTATTTTTGGAGGTTAAGGAAGAAGAGGAGAGGAGAGGAAGGCCAAGTGTATCACCAAGCAAAGCAGACTTGGCATTCTCTCACCGAGGGGCCAAAAGCCTCTCCAAGAGGTGCCATTACATTCCACAGCCATGACAACGGGCGCCGGTATTTTCTGTGAGCTGCCACTTTCTACTGGCATGACAGGCTGTGCAGGAAGGAGTGTGTACCAGTTCAAAAATACCCCAGGACTCCTTCTGGATTTTTATTAAGACAAAATAAATGGTTGGTTGATCAATCTTTCGTTTTTTTCAACATATCTCTTTTAGAAGAACAAAAACCAACATGAACGTCTTAACAAGAATGATCGGTGTGATAGCATTGTTGTCCAAAAACAAAAAAAAACACATCTAAGAGCATCACTGTTGCACATATTCCTTCGATGCTTTGAACACACGCTTTGTCGTTTGATTGAGGCCCCCACATAATATTAATATATATGTTAATACTCACTAATGTGTATTCATCTGCAGTTAGAAATGATCCCCAGCAAGAGCAACATTTACTGCTGTTTGAGTAGTGTTTGACCAGCTGTGTTACCAAAGTAATGAGGCTTTTTTTTTTAAATTTATAACAAATAGAAAGTCAGAAAGTATTGAGAGTTGGGGGACACATTTTTGATTTTGGTCTTTTCAGGGGATTTGTTGACAGTAAGTAAAATTCAGAATGTATTCTCTAAACAGAGTGCAATATGGTAACAGCTTAACTTAAATAAAAAGGCTTGACATTATATCACTATCATTATCGCTAACATTTTACTATAAAAGCTGAGTTCAGCCAAGGAAATAATTCCTATTTCAACCAGAAGATGGCAGCACATGCTTGTCCATTTGTCCAAGAGCATCTGTAACACAAGTCCATCACTAAATGTTTTACTGACACTTGTATTCTGGTTCAGCTCTCCAAGTAAAAACTCACAGAAACAGGATTTCTTAAAATGCAACATCACCCTTATTTTCTATTAATTGTCACACATGGTGAACTGTAAACGTGTCTCCCTCAAATGTGCAAATCCTCTGGACTGCACACCTCTATTGTTTCTCCGCAGTGTCACCCGGCTCATCCAGGTATGAGAACAAAGCATAGTATAGTTTACAGGAAACCACTTAGGCCGGATCCTGCCTGTAGTGTCGTGTGTAAACAAAGAAGCCATGAAAGATTGATGCAAATCTTCAAACCTCAACCTCACAGTCGCGTCTCAGAATGGGCATCAGGGTGATGTAATCAATCAATCAACACCGACAGTGGGACCAGCTTGCTTGTTACAGTTACAGTGATTAGTGTGCTGATTGGCGATAACTAAACTGAGCCATCTCAGCTATTCATACTGCTTGGTTAGTCTGTATTACAAAATAAGCTTAAGCTAAAGCGCATACTGTTAAAATGATTGCAGGACTTGAAGATGCCTGATGCTCCGAGACATGTCAGAGTTTACGGATTATGTATTTTTTTGTGGGGGTTTTACATATTGACTTATTATTGGATGGCTTAGATTCCACCACTGTCCATTCAGTCTGAGTCAGAGTTATCTTACAAGGTAATATCTGTTTCCTCCAGGTACGGCTGGAGACGCAGCTGTTTGCACATCATTTGCATTACAGATAAAGCTGATGGGCAGTCTGCTTAGCTATAAATTATGTAGGGAGCAAAGACCTCGAGGTTAAAAAGGCGGTTATGAGGATCCACCAAGGCTATGAATTGTTAATATGATTCCCTTCATCCATATGGGCCAAACATGCAATCAGATAAAGGTTAAACTAGCATTTTCCAGGAGAAGACAGACAGCTCATCTAAATGACAGTATTGTAGTCAAAACCACCTAAACCAAGAGTCATGACCAAGACCAGAGTGTGTCGAGATCAAGACAAGACCAGACCAGTGCGAGTCCCACACTGCATGACCCACTTACGATAAAATGTGGAGCATGCAAACCATATACACTCCTCAAATTGATCGGAAAGATCCACATTCCCATAAGAAACACCCAGAGAAAACAAATGAAGATTCCTCTTCTTTAACCTTTTTAATTGCCATATATGTGTATGTGGGGATTTTTGTTTTTGTTTTCTATATGAGCAAAGAAATACAAACAAACACTAACGAGCTGAAAACAACTTGAACATCTTTATTCAACACTGCTTTTTTTTTTTTACATACTACTGTGTGTTGTGTTTTGGACGTGGTTTTGCAGATGAACTCTTTGTGGTTCAGGTCGCAACATTTTATTTCTGAAGATGTGGCTGTCTTGAAGGGGAGGGGTGACAATCGTTAACAGTAACAAAAAATTCAAATCATAAATGGGTCATGTTGCATTTGAAGTAGGAAGTTTTACATCCAATCACATGTAATGGTGTTAACAAATAAATCAGACAATAAACGGGCACTTTAGTGATATCCACGCTGTTGAGACCGAGACGAGACTGAGTAAAAATGTGGTTGATTTCGAGACGAGACAGATACCTTCAAAAAAGTTGTATTGAAATCGGTATGGAGCCCAAGATCGACCTCGAGTACTACAACACTGATACATGAGTTCTTACAGAGAAAGAAAATGTAAAGGAGTTGCATTGGAAGAAAAGGCCGATAGCTTCTAATAGAGGTACTGTATATTTGAGGGAGGCATACCTGCAAGTGCAGGCAGTTTCTGTAGCTCTCTGTTAGCACTGAGGGGGAAAGAGGAAGTGCTGAACCTCTTCTCCCTCTTCATGGCCGAGTGTGACCCCGGCTGCTTCACCCTCATCACCTGAGTTGCCGGAGGCACTTTCTTATTGGAGCCCTGCAGAAACAAGAGTCGCAGATAGAGCTCCTGTTACCGGAGCAAGGTAGGGGCGAGGTAGTTCCTGCACCCAAAGGAAATGCCACAGGAATCACTTTACTCAAGTGTCCCTGTGGAGTTCAAAGGAGGAGAGGAGAAGAGAGCAGAGGAGGAAAAGGAGAGGAGAAGGAGGGGAGATGAGACAAAAGGTGAGGAGAGGGAGAGGAGAAGGAACGAGGGTGTTGTGGTTAAGGGTCAAGTTCCTTTCCGAATCAGATCAGGTGATTCTCAGCGAAGCAACCCGATCACAGTCGGCGGTGTACTGTACCGCATCAGTTGACAGAGTTTGTGATGGATCTCAGTGGACAGAATAATTGAGCACAGATGGAGTTGATAGAGCTGTCAATGGGAACAAACAGCAGGTCCAGCAGTCAATCAATCAGGTCTCTTACAATCTCAAAGCACTGTACTCATCATCACTGATGCACGCCAGGAATAATGAGGACAAGAATAGCCGCCACAATGACTCCTATTATTCTCAGAGGCCATACAAGTCATGATGAGGAGAACTGGGTAAGTATTTTCAGAGAAAATATAGTCATAAGATCATACCGAGATGTCACATGAGCAACTTTGTCTTCATTCATCCTAAAGATTTTCCACCTAAAGGCCAAAATAAATTTCCAGGGAAACAGCCGCACGCTATTAAGGCTGTGTGCTCATTATGACACAGAATAACACTCAAAACAAAAGAGCAAAAGCTTCCCTAAAATGCACAACAGCAAAAAAAGAGCTTGTTCTCCGATACAA